CAGTCTATGTAATTAGTTAATTTATACTTACCTTCATTGTATTTTGCTTTCGATCCTGGCCTTACCGTTACTGTTAACTTTATTTTTACTCTGAGGGAGCCCAATGTCTATAAGCCTCATGGTTTCTTTTTGGGCTTCCTCGCCACTTTCATTTGCTTTTGTGTAACTGTCTTGTTTTTTTCGTTATTTGTATTTTGTGGTAAATCAAATAAAGTTATAAGTTTATAAGTAAGCCCGCGATCAGTTGAACACTAGTTACGTGTCCGCGGATTACTTCAAAAAACACGCAACCTCGATGGGTCGATCCCTAAGCCGAGTTACGGTCATGTGATACTGGTCAGCAGATACCCTATTTTGACAACTGTCAATTGACGACAACATGCAAGTGCAATATCAGGTCGCAGGCTCCCATCTAACCAGAAGGTGTGACATTTCACGAAGGTTACCCTAAGTAATTGCTCGACTACAAGAGAGAACCTTCTGATGAGACGGTCACTGCACTCAGGAAAGCGAGGAAAAATTTATGCCCAACGCATCGCTCGCCGCCTCACCAATGATTACTGGCTGAATATCTCTCAGAGCATCGAACTATCAGCTGACTGTGGGAACCTCTGCGCCATGTACGATGGAAAAAAGATAACTTTCAACCCAAGCGCCACCCAAACTGCACCTTTGAAGTAAGCTGCCGGCGACATCATCATAGACCAGAGTAAACTGATGAAGAAGTGGACTGAACACAATACTACCAAGAGCTCTACTCTAAAGAGAACATCGTCACTGACACAGTAGTTGAGAGTACCAGCCTCCTGCCTGTTATGAATAAGCTTGACCTTCCACCCTCAGTAGACTTATTACGTGTAATGCAATCAACTCTGTAGCCTGAGGAAAAGCATCAGGCAACAATGGCTTCCCGTCAGAGGTCATCGAGGCTGGTATGAATTCCGCTCTCCTTTGCCATCTACACGAGTTCTTGCTTCAGTGCTGGGAGGAAGGAACAATGCCCCAGGACATGCGTGACTCTAACTCTCGTCACGCTGTACAAGACGAAAAGACAAGGGAGACCGCAGCGACTGTAACACATACCGTGGAATATCTCTCCTCAGTATCACTGGGAAGGCCTTTGCCTGTGTAGTGTTTAATAGGTTACAGACGCTAGCAAAAAGGGTGTACCCTGAGGCTCAGTGCGGGTTCAATGCAGGGAGGTCAACAATTGACATGATCTTTTCCCTGAGGCAGCTGCAGGAAAAGTGTCGGGAGCAAAGGAAACCCCTGTATATTGCCTTTGTGGACCTGAGTAAGGCCTTCGAACCTAATCAGCTGGAAGGGGTTATTCACTCTCTTGCAGAGGATCGGATGCCCTCCCAAGCTCCTAAGGATGATAATGTCTTTCCATGATGACATGCAAGAAACCGTCCAGTACGATGGCTCAACCTCAGACCCCTTCCCAATCAAGAGCAGAGTGAAACAGGGCCGTGTACTTGCACCCACATTCTTGGACATCTTTTTTTCTGTATTGCTGTCTTACGCCTTCAGCCGGTCAGAAGATGGTGTGTACCAGAAACGATGGAAACCTCTTCAATCTTGCACGTCTCTGAGCAAATACTAAGGTTCGGAAAGTACTGATAAGGGAGATGCTGTTTGCAGACGACGCTGCTTTAACCGCACTCACTGAGGATACTTTACAGCGACTCATTATCACCTTTGCACGCGCTTGTAGCGAGTTTGGTCTCACCATCAGTCACAAAAAGACCAACATCCTTGGCCAAGACGTCAGCAGCATCCTAAGCATCTCCATCGGTGACTACACTCTCGAGGTGGTGGAGGACTTCACTTACCTAGGCTCCACCATTTCCAACAACCTCTCCCCAAACACTGAACTGAACAAAGGAATTGCAAAGCAGAGAAGCACCATCAGCACCAAGATGAAGGTGCACTGCGGCCTGCGTGCCCAGCACCCTGCTGCATGGTAGCGAGACCCGGACCCTCTACTCCAGCCAAGAGCGCAGACTCAACACCTTCCACCTGGGTTGCCTCAGAGGGATTTTGGGAATCACCTGGCAAGACCGAATCCCAAACAAGGATGTCCTGGCACAGGCGGGAGTGCCTAACATGTTCGCCTTGCTCATTCAGAGACGGCTGCGCTGGCTTGGCCATGTAAGCCGCATGGATGGGTCTTACCACTGGAACTAGGCCAGCAGGAAGGCCTAATCTTCGCTTTAAAGATGTTTGTAAACGAGACCTGAAGGCAGGCAGTATAAAACCCTGCAGATTGGGAAGCTGTAGAGACCGAGGTCACCGAAGGCTTGCTGTTAAGGCAGGTACTGCGGCGAGTGAAGAGAGGAGAGAGGAGCAGTGGGATGAGAGGAGAGATCGCAGGCGGCTAAGGGCAGCATCAATACCCACAGAGCCGAACATGGAGGGCCTGCTGTTCCAGAATCGGACTGTAGAGCCACAGCAGGCGCTGCAACTCAACCAATGACTAAACCTTGGCGCTGATTTCATTATCTCGCGCGACAGAAGGATGCCAATAGCCCTGTGGTGGGGACGGACGGGCAGACGGACGGACGGTCAATTGCCCAATTTTCTTCGCTATGGGCTTCTGCTCGCACGCTACTCGCGCGTGCTTGGAGCTCCACTATAAAAACTTCACGTTAACCCTAGGACCTACACGCAAAGTCATATCCCCACTGTGGTAAAAATGGGGGGTCGATGGCTCCCCCCCATTGGGTTTTTGATATGTTGCAGTATTTCGAAACGGTTTTGCCTTCAGTAGAAAGCCTTTGATCTTGTCTACAAGAAGAGGTATATTTTATGGGTGGTGGCGCTGCTGGAGGTCTGTGACGTCACCAAACATGGTCGCCATATTGGATTTTATCAAGAATTAGAAATCAGATAAAAACAGTGAGAATTAATAATTTTTTCCGCTTATGACGTAAAACAACACATAAATAATTAGTTTGTACGTCCGAGGGTTAAGACTGTTCTTTCCGTCATTTAACTAAAAAGTAAGGCGGCGCCTCGATTTTTCCGGTGGAATTTACCTTAAATTTTTTTTTATTGTTTGGAAAAATTCCAATTTAGTGCCTTCTGAACCTTTCATCAGGTATTTACAGCAAACTCTGACCGATACACAGTCGTGAAAAACGTGCTAGATAAACCAGTTATAACGCGTTACTTACGGATTCATCCCGAGTCTTGGTATAAACATATATCTATGAGGACGGAATTCTATGGATGCAAGAAAGGTAATTACTAATCAGGAATATTGGCTGTTAAATGAAATTACCTAGCTTAAGCTTAGCGCTTATTATATACCTATTATATTTGTTAAAAGAAAAACAGCGGATATAAAATAACGATTATTAATTTCTTGTTTTTCCTTGAAGGATTTAGACCCCCTATAATAGTATGTGCATCTGCTTTGGGAATGGAAAACGGGAAGATACCAGACACGGCCATTGTAGCATCGTCCAGATACAACCAATACTGGGGACCGGAGCGTGGCAGGCTAAACGAGAAAAAGGATGGTAATCACTTTTAAGCGTTTAATCACCCAATTAAATGTGCTTTAAATTCAACTGTAAAAGGTTTTTGATACCTGCTATTTGTCCTAAAGCATTTGAAGTGCCTAGAAACAACTCGCCCTTCCATTACACAGATTACAACCAGCAAAATGTTGCTCTCAACTCATTCCCAAAAGTTTTATATTCCCTATTTGAAACGTCGAGGGTTATCAAAACACGCATGAACTGCTTCAGGATTTTTGTGTCACTGATCTTGATTTGTCATCATTAAAAACAGCAAGAAAAACAACCTTTTCTTGAGCTACGCATGTCTTTTAAGAAATATATTCATCAAATATTGGTCGTAAAATCTTGTTCATCTCGACTGAAAACTGCAAATAAACGTTTTTCAGGAAGTTTTAATGGTGGATGGGCTTCCCAATATGGAGACGCTTATCAGTTCCTGCAGATTGACTTGGGTAATGTTACCAAGGTAACAAGGATCGCCACGCAAGGAAGGTATGACGCAGGCTGGTGGACAACGACATACACTCTTTCATACAGTAATGATGGAGCAGCGTTCACAGCGTACAAGAATGGCGAGGTAACCCTGGAATACAGTGACTCCCGACTTTACAATATTTACGATTTTTAATAAAGGACGAAAAAAGTTATTTAATTCTATATAATTTAATCTGTTATGTTGACGTTTCGAAGGTCTTCCAAGGCAATACAGATTATAGAACTGCAGTGGGTCACATTCTAGAACCCGCCATTATAGCCCGATTTATCAAAATCAACGTGAAAACATACCGACGACATCCGACATTGAGAGTGGAGCTATTTGGATGCTCTGATGGTATGTGGAGTTTTCGTTTTGTATGAAATGACCATACAAGGTCACTTACCTGTATTTTGTTTGAATTTGACTTGATTACTATGTTTGGCTGCTTGAAATTTCATAGGATTTGCTACCCCTAAACCACCTCAGTGTATGGAAGCCCTTGGAATGCAATCCGGTGACATACCTGATTCAGCCATCACTGCCTCAAGCTCTGCTAATGCTTTCAGTCATGCTCCTTCAGTTGGCAGACTTCACTTTTTATCTGCTGGTAGTGGTAGATATGGGAGCTGGGCAGCAGGGGCCAACAATGCGCAGCAATGGTTTCAAGTGGATTTTGGAAGCTGGACAAAAGTCACAGCCATAAGGACACAAGGACGGCAAGATTCTAGTCAATGGGTCAAAACCTTCAGTATCTCGTACAGCTATGATAGCGTATTTCATAAGACTGTATACAATGAACATGGTTCAAAAAAGGTAAGGAATTGGTACAGGAAAAGCATGGGTAAGGTACCCTCCTGGCAATTGTTGTTATTATAGAGAAAAACTATAATTTGTTTTTGGAGTGTCAAAATACTTTTGGAGTACAGATTAATAACCGCTGAAGCTGAGGTTTTGAAAGTTACGCTCTTTTTACCGAATACCTTGGGATATTTCAATCCTTTATTGGTGTTTGGTAGCTGATTAACATACAGAAAGTGAAATGAGCAGTGTTCAAAAAATGCAATGCGAGTAAGGGACGTCTCACGTTATCTAAAGTGGTCGTCTATGTCAATAATAATTTGAAACTTTGACCGTTTAGTAGTGTTGAGACAAACTTTGTATAACGCAAGTAAAAAAGGTGACTATTGTAGCAGTCGGACAGTTTTTCTTACTGCCTGCGCAAAATCTTTGATGTAACGGACTTCCCAATATTAGTTTACGCTGCAAATTAAGAAGCCCTTACAGGAACAATAATTTTTTTCAAGCAGAACGGCAAACCTGCTTAAGAATTCATGAAGGTTCAAGGGTATTTTATAATCTTTCAGGGCCAGTTAGTTGTTGAGCTTGATTTTGTAATTAGGAGTCGCCTGATGTGTGACATCTGTGATCACGAGTGTCGAATGTAGGTTTTTTATGACATTAGCCTTATCGTTTCAGATATTCACAGCCAATTATGACCGTTACACCGTAGTAGAGAACATGCTAGATAAACCAATTGTCACCAGGTACTTAAGGATTCATCCAGAGTCATGGCAAAGTCACATCTCCATGAGAACTGAGTTTTTGGGCTGCAAGAAAGGTATATACCTTGTACTTAACACAGATACTGATATCCCAGTGATGAGACCTACTCTATAAACGAATAGGTTATCTCTTTAATGAAAATTTACGGTGTCTTATATTTCTGCATTTAATAAAGCTAGTTCAGTAAACGTTGTCGAAGTTCAAGACTTAATTAAAAAGCCGAATCGACAAGGCCGCAAGGTCATGTGGGTATGCCACTGAATCCTTTGCAATTCGATCTGTCTTAACGTCGAGCTTATCAGAGCCATAGAGTTTAGCTTGTGTTTTTATGACGGACGAATTGCTTCATGGTTGAGTTTAGTATATGAGATTACCCATATGCTATGCAAGGAGGGTAGCACTGACTGAAAAATTGCCGGCAAGTTTACGAAAGTTAAGCTTTCGCCCGTTTTAGTTGGCCTAATAGCAACTTAATAAATCTAATGAATGCCACTAACCTTACAAAACGGATTTTTTTGTTTTCATTTGGACCAAACGTATCACAGGACCTGGGGTATAACACTGAGACAAATACTACTTCGGGACTTTTGGCTAGTGCATTTTTTGTGAGTGGAACAGCAGATTACAAATATTATCAGAAAAAAAAATCATATTCCCCTTATGTGACCTGTATAACCACACCACCGAGCTCCAAGCCTCCGGCTCTTTTCTAACAGCAGTGTGGAATTTTCTAGAACTTCTTGTTCGAATTGGCAAGTAAGGATATAAATGACGGAGATGAAGGATCATTATATAACGTGTTTTAAATGACTGAAATAATTTTTGCAGTGAGCTTCTAATCCTTTCAATTTTAGGATTTCAGCCACCCAAACTTGACTGTCAGTCGGCACTTGGCATGAAAAGTGGTCAAATACCCAACAGTGCAATAACTGCAAGTAGCAGCTACAATCAGTATTATGGTCCGGAACGTGCCAGACTCGAGACAGTGAAATCAGGAAGCTACTTTGGAGCATGGATTCCAAAAGCAAACGACCAGGGGCAATGGATTCAAGTTGATCTCGGTAAAATTACCAAGATAACTCGAATTGGTATTCAGGGCAGACAAGATGCAAGTCGCTGGGTCAAAAGCTACTCACTTACCTACAGCGTTGAAGGAGGTCCATTCCTGCCTTATAGTGGCGGCCGTGTAAGTACCTCATATCTAACGCACGATGTACTGCTTTCTGTTTGGTTTCCTAAACTTCAAAATACCATCGTATTGAGCAGATATGTAAGCAGGGATGGCACAGCGTTGAACGCACTTGCCTCTCGCCAAATAGACCTATTCGGCTAACTAAATGTTGTACCCAATTCAAACCCTTTGGGGATAAAACGTTTTGTTTCAGGAATTTCCATATCA